CCGCTGGGCCGCGCGCGCCTGCCAGGAGATGTCTGCGCCGGCGGGCGGCGGGCAGAACCCGAGGAAGCAGCCGCGGGACGCGAGCTCCGCGGGCGGGACGGGGCTGCCCGGGGGCACGTCGAAGAAGGCACACCTGTGCCACAGGCAGGGCCCGGTGCTGGGCGCCCCCGCGCGGCCCTCCAGGATGGCCAGGGCCTCCCCGGACACGGCGCCGCTGAGCACGAGGGCCGCCTGCGTCAGCCGCTGCGCCTCCACGCACGCGCCGAGGCAGAGGGCCTCCGAGGCCGGCATCTGCCCCCGCGCCGGGTCCCACAGCCGCACCTCGCCGAGGAACCCAGGCCGCACGCGCTCCGCGCCCTCGCCGCGGGGCTCCGCCGCCTCGTAGCCGACCGAGAGGTCGGTCACGAGGCGCGCCACCTCGGTCTCGAAGTCCGCGGGGGACGCGGGGCGCCCGGCGGCTGGGGCTGTGCCCGCGACCACGACCAGGCCCGACTCCGAGGCCAGCTCCCGCAGCGCCCTCGCCCGCTCCACGGCGCCGTGGGGCGACCAATAGGCGGGCGGCGTGGACACGACCACCAGCCCGCCGCCGTGCCTGCGCTCGTCGAAGAAGAACAGACGGCACGAACATAAGCTTTCGGAGCTCGTTCCTTGGATCTGCGCTGGGTCCCCAGGCGGCGCGCTGCGCGCGCCAGGGAGGCGGGTCCAGCGCCGATCCAGGACGTCTGCTGCCGGGGACCCCTGAGAATGGATGTTTGTGCCTTTTTCCTCTTCGAACTTGAACGCCCCGCACAGCTCCCTCGAGACGTCCTCCCGGGGCAGGTGCAAGTTGTGCAGGGACGCAAAGGGCCAGCGCCTCATCGAGAAGAGGTTGGCCAGCTCCACGCGGTCTCCACGCTGGGGGCACGAATCCTGCTGATGGGCCGCGGCATCGTCGGCGTCGGCGAGGGCCGACTGGTCGGAACAGAGCCACTCCAGGCACAGGACGGGGCCAGTCAGCCTGATGCCCGAGGCAGAAATGGGCCCAGAGACGGTCATGAGAGTGAGATCCATCGCGCGCCCAACTGCGAGCCCAGGGCTCGAGGCAGAAACTGCAACGACAGCCCAGGATGCATCTCCGCTCGGTCCCACTCCTCGATTTCAAGAGGCCGCGACCAGAAATCCTTCTCCTCCCCGCCCTCCTCCCTCTGCGATCCGGCCGAATGGAATCCGCGCCCTTGTCGGTGCCGCTGCGCTCAGCGGACTCGCAAGGAGAGCCTCGAACGATGCCATCTGAAGCGCCAGCGTGCCTGAGACGCTTGGCCTGTTGCCCGCCGGGTCGGGTTTCCAACCACAGCTATCTAGCACTAACCTGTGCGGTCACGAAGATCTCGAGGAATGCCTAACTCCAGCTGCTTCGGCGAGCGCGCTCAAGGAGGCCCCACGAGAGCCCCAAGAGGCCCCAGCAACCTACAGGTGCACGTGGCAACACTGCGCGCCATTACGCCAGCTGGTCACGTGCAGTGCGCACCCTGCGCACGGCAAGGCGCAAGCGATTCAGAGACCGACTCGCAAGCGGCGCACGCCCAGCAGAGCCGGAGCTGGATGGGGCAGCGGGCAGCGATAGCGCAGCGGTGCACAGCGAGCCGCAGTCCCGCGCAATATGGTCACTCAACTTCGAGCTTCCCGCTGCGCGGACCGCGGGGTTGAGCCATCTCCTCCGCGCTCATCATCATCATCATCATCATCATCATCATCATCATCATCATCATCATCATCATCATCATCATCATCATCATCATCATCATCATCATCATCATCATCACCATCATCGTCATTATCATCATCATCATCATCATCGTCATCAACATCATCATCATCATCATCACCATCATTATCATTATCATCGGCATCATCATCACCACCATCACCATCACCATCACCATCAATATCGTCATCACCATCACAATCCTCAGCACCAGCATCAGCATCATCATTAATTACCATCATCAACACCATCATTATCACCACCACCACCATCACCATCACCATCACCATCACCATCACCATCACCACCACCATCACCACCGCATCATCAGCATCATCAGCATCATCAGCATCATCAGCATCATCAGCATCATCAGCATCAGCATCAGCATCAGCATCAGCATCAGCATCAGCATCAGCATCAGCATCAGCATCAGCATCAGCAGCATCATCATCATCATCATCATCATCATCATCATCATCATCATCATCATCATCATCATCATCATCATAGGTTGGGGTGGGTGCGCTGGTGAATAGCCTAGGTTGGCGTGGGTATGCTTGTGGGCTTCGCCTCTCCCTCCTGACCCCCTTCTAGGTCCTCTCTGGTCTGGTTTGGGGGGTGGGGGGTTCGGCCGCATCCCGTGGCACTCCCCTGCTGGCTTGTGCTGTCTTGTCCGCCGGAAGTGCCCGATCCAATCCTTCTGCCTCCGCTCCACGGCCGCACTTACAGACGACGCCCCTCTCTGAGGGGGTCACGGTACCGCCGTCAACCACTCTGCACCCATCGTGCTACCAGACAGCAAGCCACGGCGAGCCTCGGCCACGGATAGGTTCCCCGACGTGAGACCCGAGGAAGGGTCTCGAGCGCGGCGTTCGGGGGTGCGCGCGCGGGTCCACGACCGGGGGATCCCGGCGAGAGCCCGCACCGAAGGGCACTCCTCTGCGAACGAAGGGCCACTCGTCTACGTGTAGTCGGCCCTCCCCCCCCCCCACCCGCCGGCTCTGGTTTCTGCCTCCGGCGGCCGCGCCGGAGTCCGCGGCGGCGCCGTCCGACGCGGGCGGGACGGACTCGTGGTGCGCCCGCGCGTACCTCGCGAAGACGCCATCGGCGTTCTCCAGCAGTTGCGCCGGGGTGCCCCGCTCCACTGCCCGCCCGTCCTCCAGGACGACCAGGCGGTCGGCCCTGGCCAGGTTCGACAGGCGGTGCGCCACGCAGACGACCGTGGTGCCCCGGCGGCCGCGGAGCTCGTCCAGGGCGGCCTGGAGGCGGGCCTGGGAGAGCTCGTCCAGCGCGGAGGTGGCCTCGTCGAGGAGGAGCACGCGCGGCTCCTTGGCGACTGCCCTCGCGATGGCGAGGCGCTGCCGCTGGCCGCCACTGAGCTCGCCCCCGCCCTCTCCCACCCGGCTGTGCCAGAGGCTGGGGAAGACCGCTGGGTCGAAGAAGGTGTCCTCGCACTGTGCCGTCCGCAACGCCCCTCGGGCTGCTTCGTCCGCCAACGTGCGCGGCTGGGTGCCCCGGGGGTCGCCGGGAGCGCCGACGCAGCCGTAGAGCAGGTTCTCGTGGATGGTGCTCGCGCACAGCGCCAGGTCCTGACTGACGAAGCCTAGATTCTGCCGCAGCCAGAGAGGATTGTACTCGCGCAGGTCGCGGCCCCCCAGCAGAATCCGGCCCTCGGCCGGCTCGTAGAAGCGCAGCAGCAGCGCGAAGATGGTAGACTTGCCGGCGCCGGTGGTGCCCAGCACTCCCAGGAACTCGCCGGCACGGACGTCGAAGGAGAGCCCTCGCAGTGCCCATGCCCCTGGTCGCTGCGGATACTCGAAAGAGACCCCCTCGAACACTATGCTCCACTCCACCTCCGATGCAGAAGGCATCGACTCTATGGGTGGGCTGTCCAGCCCAATGCGCGGCTTCTGAGCCAGCAGGCCAGCCATCTTGGCGACGGGGCCCAGCGCCTGGGTTGCCATGGTGCTGGCGGCCGCATGTGCGAAGCGGACGCCGTCGAAGGCCCCCTGCGCCACGAGCAGCACCGATGTCAATTCGCCGATCTCCACCTGACCGCGCTGCGCCAGGCGTCCCCCATACCAGAAGAGCAATATCTCCAGGCCGCGCTCCAGGAAGTTGTGCAGGGGCTGCTGCAAGCGATAGATCAGCTGCCCGCGCGCCTGCAGCCGGTCGTGCGCGGTCAGGAAGCGGGCGAAGTTCGCCGCCTCGGCGGGCTCTCGCGCGAACGCCCGCATGGTGCGGAGCGTCTGAGGCTTGACCAGCGCCGACCAGCACCCGTTGATCTGCCCCCGGAAGTCGGGCAAGCACGTGCGCTGCTCGAAGTGGTCCCCTGCTGCGTCGACGAGCCTGCCGAGAGCCAGCCGCATGGGCAGCGCCAAGACCAGCAGCGCCGTCAGCTGTTGGCTCTGCCTCCACAGCGCGGCCACCGCCGCGGCCACCCTGACGCCGGCCTCCACGCCAACCTGGGGGAAGTCGATGATCTGGCCGATGGTGGTGCCGCAGCTGCCGATCAGGCTGCGCAGCTGCCACAGGTCGCACTGCTCCAGGAACTCGATGTCCTGCCTGAGCAGCGCCTCGAACAAAGCAACCTTCAGCTGCTGCACGACGCGCGCCTTGCCGCGGAGTGTGAGACGGGCTCGGGCGAACTCGGCGATCTGGCATATCACTTCGCTGACGACCATCGCCCCGACAGTCTCACCTATACTCCCAGAGACAGCGCGCTGCGCAGGCGCCAATGGAACGCCACCAGCGGGGGCGCCTGTCACCAAGTCCTTCAACAGGTTGATCATAGCAGCCTGGTAGTGCAGGCGCGCAGCAGAGAAGGCGCCAAGGACCACAGAAAGCAGCGACGAGGCCGCCATGAACGGCAACGAGCTCCTGAACCGCAGCAGCAGGCGCGCCGCACACCGCCACTGCGCCGCTCTCCTCGCCCGCAGGGCCACCCTGGCCCTGCGCAGCGGAACTGCGTACAGCGACACGATCTGCCTCGCGACCCCCCGCGAGGGGCACCGCGCCCAGACGCCCGCGGCGAGCGCCTCGGCGGCCGCCACGCGTGCGACCAGCGCGTCGGCCTCCTCCACGGAGGAGCACCCGGTGCCGCCCGGTGCCGCAGGGCGAGGCGCGCTGGCGGCGAGCGCCGCCGTGGCCTTCCGCAGCTCGTCGGCGGTGAGCGCCGCCGCCACGGCGTAGCCCTCCCGCGCGGCGTGCGAGCCGCGGTCCACCTTGGCCAGCCTCTCGGCGGCCTCGGCGACCGCCTCCGCCGCCGCGGTGGCCCCAGGCGGCGCGCTGGCTGCGATCTCCTCTGTGACGCGCAGGGGTGGCCCCAGGCAAGAGTGACTGACCTCTGGTGCGCGGCACAAGGGGGTCCGTGATGGGGTCGAAATCTAAGCGTGTAGGCCAGTGCTGGAAGTACTCCTGCGGGCCCGCACCAAAGGCTCATCCTCTCCTGACGTCTGACGTTGCGAAAACTTGCAACATCGTTCAAAGTTGCGACCGGAGCCCCAGACCCCATCTCTCTGCAGCATTTCTCGAGCTGGATCGAACTGTCATAATCCTGGGGCCCGAATATGGGCCGCTCTCACGTGTCAGCCGATCCTCCCTGGCGCCGCCCAGCAGTGGCCGCAGGCCGGGCACGTCGCAACACAGCGGGCCGAGCGGCACCTGCTTCAACAGGCCGCGCAGCGCGGCCAGCCGCTTGTCGCGCTCCCGGGCCACCCACGCTCGGCCCTCCTCGTCGTCCTCGCCTGTGGCGGGTTCTACGACTCCAACTCGGCCACGCGTGCACCCCGAAAGGGCGCGAGACCCAGGCCACGAGTAGTGAAGGAACGGGGCGGTCACAGACGACGGCGACGACGGCGACGACGAACGACGCCAGTTCTTCGCCTTTGGCGGCGCGCAAACAAGACGGAGGAGGGACAAGCGCACTGATCCCGATGCCCTTCCCTCATTCTGCCTCTCTGGGCCTCCTGGGGGACCGTCGTCGCCACGAAATCTTGGTCAGAACGCCCCCGCCGGAGAGTTCCAGGGAGCAGCTGTTTCGGCACCCCTATGAAAAACCGAGGAGCCTCTTACGCAAAATGGCCCTGCGTCGTCCTTTGAGGTTCCTTAGGCGGCTTCCGCCAGAAGGCAGGGGGGGCTTCTGATCAGGGGCGTCCAGAATGGGGGCTCGCAGATCCCCGAAACATGCGCGGCGACGAGGGGGGGGGGGCCAAGGGGCGTAACTGAAATGAAAGAAGGGGGCCGTGAAACCCGCTGACGTATCATGGCTCCGGCCATGAACCGCCCCCCCGATCATCACGCA